AAACTATAGTGGGGTTACATGTTGTGTAGTGTAAATAGTAGCTATATTGATAATGCTTAAGACATGGAGTTGAATTGTATTGATTGACTTAGGATTAGATGAGAGACATCGTTTTAAAATATGAATATCCCATTGTGAGGATACAGTGTTATGATGCTCCGTTAGTCTAGTGTTGAAAACCCTTCTTAAGAAGTTGACTATTGAAATAGAGTGTTAAGTCTCCTTTAGGTCTTTAGTTGATATAGTATGGGGACTAGGTTGATCCATACTAATTATAAAATGACGAAATGTAGATTTGTGTGGGGTGAGGTCGAGTCATACATGTATAAAGTGACCAAAACTAAGGTACAATGTTCGAGGCCAAAATTCCTAACTAAGTGCTAGAAGGGGTGCAATACTGGGAGTGTAATCGGTAGCCTAGTTCTATAATATACTTAATTATATATGTTAGGATTGTGGTAGGATCACATCCAACTTGTTATAATCCTAACAAAAATACTAGACTTTCCTAGTTTAAATGGTGAAATTCGAGAAATCATGTTATGTTATGAATTTTTATCCAAATTTATTATTGATCTAAACAAGTCCAAAAAAATCATGTTGTTAAGTTGATTTAGTAAGATCAAGCTACTTAAATTACTTACTGGTATTGTAAGAGATCTCTTAGTTGAATATGTTATGACACATGTAATTATTGAGTTGTGCATATGATAAGTTGATATGTTGATGTTGATAGTATAGTACTACTTTACTTCTATACTTGTTATATTGTTTTCTATAAATTTGTTCTTGTATATTTCCTTGTGGTTACACTATATATGATAGTCATACTTGTTATGGGAGTAAGGCATGACTAGGCAAGAATATGAGCCAATTTTGGGAGCCATATTGGAGGATGACATTGTTTACTTGAACTACCTTGGTGTAGATACCCTTTTGTAGTAGTTGCTTAACCGACAATGTAAATTTATGCTTTTTGTCCAAGATTATTGTATATACACATATGTAAAGCTTATATTTGTAGTCTCATTGAGGGACTTACATTTATGCTTTTAGTTTATAAAGTTTATAATACACACGTACACACACGCACGGACACATATACACAAGGACGGATACACATGTATCCTAGTGGAGGCACTTGCCCCCACTAACATTTTTCTATATTTTATTAATTTAAATATATATATATATATATATTATATTAAGATTTAAATGTATTTTTATTCTCTTAATTGTAAAATTATTGTTTTTAATTTCTATAATTTTTTAAAAATTTTGTTTTAGTCTCTCAAGTCATCAATAACATATATAAAAATGACATATCAAGATAGTAATGTAGTTTCAATTGGATTTGATATGATATTTTTACGGATAAAGATATCAATAGATAGATTTTAGACAACAATATTTGATAGATTCCCTAACAAAATTTGAGTATAAAAATTGAAACAAGATTTTCTAAAATTTACAAGAATTAAAAAGACCAATTTTTAATTTGAGGGACTAAAGACAAATTTACCTTAAATTTGAGATATTAAAAACGTATTTAAGTCTATTATAAATTTATAATAATGTACTCACACTTGTCATGTTAAAAACTAAGTGCTCTCACTCATTTCTATATTTTTATTTTGTTAAAAAAGTCAAAGTTAATATATTAAGTTTTTGAAAAAAATAAATCTTAAAATAAGTGTCATGTTAGTTTTTCAATATAATATTAATTATCTTTTATTTTTCATTTATACCCTTCATAATATTTTTTAGAAAGTGAATATTGTATTGTATTATTTATATTAAAGAAGATTAATTATAAGTTTTTTATTTCTAGTTTGTATGAAACAACCTAAAACGATACTTATTATAAAATAAAGGGAGTACTAGTTATAGTTAAATAAAGCCAGTAAAGGGATTAAGGAGTGATAATTGATATAAATTCATATTATACTATTTTTAAAATGAAAAAAGGTTAAAATTTTGATACGAGATATAGAAAGAGATATTTTTGAAAGTGTTAAAAATAAGAAAATCATTCAATGTTTTTAAAATATAAAATCTCATAGAAAATAATTTAATGTATATTATATTTAAAAAAATGAAAAATTATATATTTAATACTATAAATTTATGTATTAATATTGTTCCCACTATTTAAAATTTCTGGATCTGTCACTACATACAATACAAGTTGCAAAAAGGAATACAAACACTCAAAAAAATAAATGCATGGTTCTACGATCGATATTGATACTTCTTGTATATAATTAATGAGAGAATGTGACACCTTTTACGTTAGTTAAACATATAATATATGCAGAAAGTGATACGTTTTACATCTCTTATAACTTTAATCAATGTAAAATGTCACATTAATTAAGGAATTGCTTACTACTATATTTAGTAAGTTATAAAGTGTAATTACTTGTTAAGGATCGTTACCATTTTTATAAAAAAAATAAAAATTATTTGATTTAACTTTTAAGAACCTTTCATTTAAATTTAGCTCTTCTTCAATATTTGGGAGTTTGTAAAAGAAAAAAAGAAATTTTAAAACTTTTTAATATAATGTCTAAAATATATTTACTTATATTTTAAATTTAAAATTACAAAAATACAAAAATAAATTAATTTTTAAAATGTCTTCCTCTTCTTCTTATGTACTAAATAAGAAAAAGTCTATCTTTCTTCACTCCTTTCAATTAAACATAAAATTTTTAACTCCTCCCCTTTTTTCTTCTCCATTAAAATCATTCGGTTTCTTGTTTTTTATTTTTATAAACCAAACAGACCTAAAAAAGTGTAAAACGTTCTTAAACCTAATTTCTGATAATCTTAGAATACTAAAATCATACTTTAGTATTGATTCTATATCATTGGGTGATAATGTTTTTATATTTATATAAACAATTATTTTTAATATAAAAATATTATAACCAAAAAGAATCTCTCCACACGTGAGATTTGGCAGATTTGCGGATAAACGAGAATGACGCTTGGCTACTTGAGTATTCTGACTCGTGATTTCACGGGACAAAGTCAAGATGTCTGGAACTGTTAGATACAATCCATTAATTAACAATTTACGAAGCATACATTGTTTCATAGGAATGATCCACGTTATCATTTACGTGCAATTATATGAAGGATTAGAGTATCAATTAAATTCAAAAGGGACCAAATGACTTTTTCCAATGCACACCCATATCTTGTGGGGGGTAATCCGGTCTTTGAAGCCGTTTCACGGGTTGCCATATTTTTCAATCATTCACCGTCAACTGTCATGTACATAGTTTTCTTTTTTCTTTTTTCTTTAATATCATCACATAATGTTTTAAAATTAATAATTAAAAATTAATTTTCACTTCTAAAATATAATTTTTACTGATTAAGAAAATATGATATAGTTAGTACATAATTAATAAATTAATTAATTTTTTTTAAATATTTGGTCAAAGATTCAATAAGGTTTGTGTAGATATTTTTTTTTTTTATCTAATCACATCTATTCTGTACTACAAATAATTTTGTTCGACTCAAATTGAATTATTGTAAATTATAATTTTTTAATATTTAAAATATTTATGTATCCTATCAAAATAATGTATATAAAAAAAATTTATAAAGGAAATCTTTTATAATGAATTTAAATACTTTTAAAAATTAGTTCTTAACTTTTCAAAGATATGTTAATTTAAAAAACAGATTTTTTTTTTCAATCATTCCCCTGACTCCTCCCTCTCCAACAAGCAAAAAATAAAAAACATATTAACCAAAGGTGGGCAAAGGTACGTGGTGTCAGAACTCTTATGGTGTGTTTGGATGAGAAATTTTACAAATTCAAGGAATTTTAAATTCTTGGTATTTGAATTACTTTGATTTTAATTTCTATCATTTTTAAAATATTTTGTTTGGATAAGTCAATTCAAATTTTTCAAATTTTAAATTGTTAGGTTGGATATGATAATTTGATTCTATCATGATAAAATTGATTTTAAAAATATATTTATATGTTAAGATTTTTAAATTAAATTTTATAAAAACAAATATTTGCTAATTTTTAAATATTTAATAATTTTAAAAATTAATATTAGATAATATTTAATAATTTTAAAAATATTTTTGAATATTCAATAATTAAAAACATGAAGAGATAAGAGATAAGATAAAATATATAAGTGAAATAAGAAGAAAAAAATATGAGGAATTTCAAATTTATTATTTCAAGGAATTTCTCAAATGCTTGAATTTCAAATTCCTTATAAATTCCTCATCCAAACAAGGTATTTCACCTCAAAGAATTTGAAATTCTTCAAATAAATGAATTACTCCATTTAAATTCTCCATCCAAACACACTAACCTTTTACTCTTGTAACCGAGTAACCTCGAAATTTCATGAGAATGATGATCCATTTGAGAAAAGCCGCAAAATAGGAAAATCCAAGAAAAAGTTTAACAAAACTTTCAAGCGTATTTTTTAAAAATATATTTTTTATTGACTAAAATTTATTTTGAAAATAATAAAAAGTGTGATAAATGGAGTTTGTTCAAGATTTTAGTCTCAATTAAACTTCTGTGCACAAAGTACTTTGAGGTCCTTTGAGTCATTATTGGTAGCTGTGGCGCACCATATGCCATGCCTTACATTATTTTCACTGCTAGCTCCAAAACGAAAACAGGAATGACCTAACATGCAGCCAATGTCTTCCTGTCTCAGAATACACTCTTTCAGAGAAATACATCATATTTTTACATTATCTTCAAACTGCAACTTGCTACACTCAACTCACCCAAAAGTAATGTAACTTTTTTACTTTCTCATAATTTTCCACTTATTTCATCTGGCTAAATACTAATAAAAATAAGTCTTTCAAGAAAAACAAAAAGTACGTGCCCCCACCTAAAAAGAGAAAAAAAATCAAATACTGTAGAGGCAGATATTATTTCCAGCTATAATTAATACATTAGTTCAAACACCATGTTACTTTAGTTTAGACTCTAATCAGTGTCCCCATCACTCCTCTTACTAATGTGTCCTATTTAAGGGAGTCAAATGTTCAACACCTTCACCTTTGCTGATTACTTTTTCATCATTTTTCATGGCTTATTCATATCCTAAACTTTTCTTTCTTCTGTTTGCAATCTTCTTGTCACACACTTGTGCTGTCAACTCTTCCAATGCTTCCACAACACTTCACACCAATCTCTCTTCCTTAAGATCTTTCTGCACATCAACCCCTTACCCAGAAGTTTGTTTCAACTCATTGAAGCTATCCATCACAATAAACATAAGTCCAAACATTCTCAACTACCTCCTTCAGTCCCTCCAAGTAGCAATATCTGAAACCACAAAGCTCTCAAACCTCTTCCACAACGTTGGACACACAAACATCATAGAGAAGCAAAGAGGAGCAGTTCAAGACTGCAGCGAACTCCACCAATCCACTTTGATTTCTTTGAAAAGATCACTATCAGGGATCCGTTCCACCAACTCCAAGAACATAGTTGATGCAAGAGCATACCTCAGTGCAGCACTCACCAACAAGAACACGTGTCTAGAAGGCCTAGATTCTGCTTCTGGCACCATGAAGCCAACACTGGTGAAATCTGTGATCAACACTTACAAGCATGTTAGTAACTCTCTTTCAATGATCTCTAAGCCAGGAAAAGGGTCTACCAAAGGCCAAAAAAACCAGCCTTTGATGGGTGATTCAAAGTGGCTATCAAGAAGTGACCAAGGACTCTTGCAAGACTCAGATGGGGAAGGATATGACCCAAATGAAGTGATTATTGTGGCTGCAGATGGAACTGGGAACTTTACCACCATCACTGATGCTATCAACTTTGCTCCGAATAACAGCATGGTTAGGACAGTGATCTATGTCAAGGAAGGGATTTATGAGGAAAATGTGGAAATTCCAAGCTTTAAGACCAACATTGTGATGCTTGGCGATGGAAGTGATATCACTGTCATAACTGGTAACAGAAGCGTTGGTGATGGATGGACCACTTTCAGATCTGCTACTCTAGGTGAAGCCTTGTAACCTTTTCTAATTTTTTCAATTAATTATTTGTCATGCATTGGGCTACCACTTGGCAAAGGGCAAGAGAAGTAAAAAAAAAAATAATAAAAAAAAAACTTTTACTCTATAATACATGGTGACTCAATTTTTAATTCTACATTTTTAGTTGTTTAAATTTTATAAAATTTGTAATTTTGACATGATACTAAATGTCTATTTGTTAATGGTTAAATTATAACATTGATTATAATTTCATTACACAAATAATATAAAAATTAATATTTAATATTATTCATACGAAATTATACTTTTATTTTCTATTTTTATCCTAGATTAATAATATTTTTTTTATACATTATTTAGACTAAAACATAACGGATCTTTGTCTTTCTGAGTAGGTCTGTCTTATTAGGAAAAGTTATTAAATGATCTCACAATCAATCTTTGTCTTTCCGTGTAGGTCTCTTTTAGAAGAAAAAAAATTACATGATCTCACAACCAATCTTTTATGGTAGAGATTAGTAGAGACCAAATACTTCAAAACCATACAATAAGTTCTCTTTATGTAGTGAGACTAATTAGTGCTTGTTTTATGTCATTTTTTTCTGACCAAAATGGAAATCACATGATTATGTATTTTGTGTTTCCAGCGGTTTCTGGTGATGGCTTTCTGGCACGTGACATAGCCTTTGTGAACAGCGCAGGGCCAGAGAAGCACCAAGCAGTGGCCTTGAGGGTAAATGCAGACTTAACTGCTTTCTACAGGTGTGCAATTTATGGTTACCAAGACACATTATATGTTCACTCCTTCAGACAATTCTACAGAGAGTGTGACATTTATGGGACCATAGACTTCATCTTTGGAAACGCAGCAGTGATCCTACAAGAATGCAACATCATATCTAGAAAACCAATGCCAGGCCAATTCACTGTCATCACTGCACAATCCAGAGATAGCCCTGATGAGGACACTGGCATCTCAATCCAAAACTGTTCAATCATAGCTACTGTTGATTTGTATTCCAACTCTAGTAGCTTCAAGAGCTACCTTGGGAGGCCGTGGAGGGTTTATTCTCGTACCGTGTACCTTGAGTCATACATTGATGATTTCATTGACCCTAGGGGTTGGACTAAGTGGTCTAATGAGCAAGGATTGGACACTTTGTATTATGGGGAGTTTGACAATTATGGACCTGGTTCCTCCACTGATAATAGGGTAGAATGGTTTGGGTACCATTTGATGGACTATGATGATGCCTATAATTTCACGGTTTCGGAGTTTATCAATGGAGATGGGTGGCTTGGGACTACTTCTTTTCCTTATGATGATGGGATTTGATTTGAACAGTTTAAAGTAGCTTTTGTTTGTTATTTGTTAGGCTAGCTACTTGCAATGGTCCCTATTCTATGGCTTTAAGGCCTAAAGTAGGTAGTTACTAATGTAACAATGTAAAATAAGAAAAGTTCATGCTAATTACACATAGCTGATTTGATGAATTCTTAATTTGACGCTAGTACCACTCAATATATGGCATCTCACCTGTTACACTGTATTTGGGAGGAGAATCAACGCGGATCAGAGAGGGAAGGAAAGTGCATGCATTTAAAAATGAAAATAAAAATAAAAACTAACACAAACATGTTTGAGAAACGGATCTCCGATTGAATTAGGGAATTACTTACCCCTAACATGGAAAGAATTCTAACACAAATAATTGATGACAAAATTGATCGATTATGTTTCTAAGTAAAGAAATTATATTGGATCATGGTCCTTGTTATTTGAATTGAGGTTTTTTTATTATTTTTTTTAAATGAGCTCCCCGTGTTATATATATAACTCAAAGTTAAAATATTACTACTTCATTCTCATATATAAAAGAAACAAATCCTTAATCCATCCGTCATAATTTGAAATTTCATTCTAAAAATATCCATATAGAGTTAAATATAGGTGATAATAATATTTAATGACACTATCCAAACGTTAAGGAATAATTTTTTCAATCAAGGAATATGTTTTATATTGTTAGTTTCATAATAAATTTATTTACTTTTATGAAAAATAAATAGAAAACCCATTAATAAACTTGCAATAAATTAAGGTATAAAAGATATTTACTAATTAATATATTTAAAAGCAGGCTTTTTTTTAAATGATTAAGATTAAAATAAAACTTTCATTTATTTCTTACATAAAAAAATTGAAGTTGTATTAGTTTTAAATTTTAATCATAAATATCTATACTATAATAAAGCGATTAATGTCTCCTACACACATATACATACATACATACACACACACACACACACACACACACACACAGAT